AAGTAATTGTTTCCCTTTTCTTTCCTCTACTAGAATCGCTTTAAAAACCGCAACTGAAGTTAACATAGGCCTATAGTTATAAAATAGTTTAATTCTCTTTAAAAATGCATGAAGTTAGGATTAAGTCTAGTTTCTAATGCATTACTTATTATATTATCTTAACTTTTTTTTTAAATAATTACACAAATATAACAGTTACATAAAACTAAATAATGTGTTTAGACTTGACTAGATGAGCCTCGTATAAAAATACAGTATCAAGGATACAATTTTAATATACAAGGATACAATATACAAGGATACAATACAAGGATATAAGGATACAATAATTGAATTGCAAAGCAGGAAACCAAGCAAATTTAAATTAGGGGGCCCTTATGTACTGTACAGTGTTGATTTTAGACATTTTTTTTTAGGGAAATATTCTCTTATAAAGGATCGGTTTGGTGTCCCACACCTTTATGCACATAGGATAACGCTCCACTGGAGAAATGTTAAAATAACTAGCGTATAAATGATTAAAGGAGAGATAAGATTATACTTTCAAATATTGTTTTTATGCTCATAACAGTGATTTTTTTCGAGTTAACTACTTACGAATTAAATTAAAATATCTCAGAAATGACCTGTAAATCCAAATTAAAAGAATAAAAAGTTTTGTTTTTTCTCCTCCTTTCGAAGACAGCGTAAAGTATCTCTTACACAAATAAATTTACTTATTTCTCCTGCGTGGTATTTTATATTTAAATCTTTAAAAAGTTATTGGTGTGGGAATAGACACCAACGACTGTTAAAACAGTTTTAAGTGAGAAAGACCCACGAACGGGACTCAGAATGTTAATTTTTAATCGTGCAGAGAAGCAAACATCCCACCAAAGAATGCTAAATAAGAGACGAGATTGTTTGAATATCGCTATTTTCTGTATTTTGCAAATAGACGTATCAAAGAGTTCTTTTAACATCTCACATTTTATTTAACTATATTGCAAGGTTTGTAAAAGCCCTCAAGTTTATATCAATACGTAGTAAAGTTTATAAGAATAACTTTTTTTAATAAGGCCTTTTCTATATTTTAAATTGTTGCTAGAATCGAACGATAGAAAATGTACTTTTGACACGTAAATTTCCATTAATTAGATTAATTTTATTTCAGATATTTATTTGGCTTAAATTACGCACGAATAATTATTAAAATTTAATAATTTATAACGGATATTAATGCAAATTATAATGAATTTTTTTATAAACACTCCATTCTTAGCGATTTTATGGAATGCAAGTCGACTTATACAAGCAAAATTCGTTCTATTTAATTGTTATTTATCTATAAAAGTCATATAATTCTTAAAAGTTAAGTCTAGAATTGTTTATTTTTATTATATTTTACATAAAGACTCATTTAATATATTAAAATAAAGCTAGTAGCTTCGTATACAAGCATATGTTTTTAATTATTTTAGTGATAGATTTATGCAAAAAAAAAAAACACTTAATTTCTTGAAGAAATTCGTACATAATCGATCCTACAGATTTCTAGCACAAAAGTTTTGTTAACAAATATCGCGTGATAGAAAAACAGGGACAGAGTGATGACGCATGCATGTTTACCGATGCCGACATTCGAGCTTGATCAGCATCTTAAGCTTAAAAGTTCATTAAGTCAATTTATTGCCTACATAAAAATTAACTTAAAGAAAAGAATCTGAGCTTAATCTATAGGTAAAATAGTAGAGGACGTTCCACTTTTATCTGTGGTTAAAATGAGAGACTTTCGTGTTTATCAAACCTTATAATAGATTAATTAGTTTGCAGACATTAAATGATCAGTACTGTACGTATCATCTATATTTACTAGTTTATAAAATATAAAATGACGTGAAGTCAACTCGTTACGGGACACGATTTCATTAAAATTCGAAAAGAACAACACTTTACAATAGAAAAAAATAATAATAATAATAAAAATAATTCGACATTTTTCTCTATGAAATACTCTTATACTGTACGAGCGACGTTTGTTTGTTTATAAATATTGTATATTTGTTTAGGAGAAAATAAAATACTAAATTTAGTATATAAAATGTTACAATTCCAGTAAGAAAACTGTTTAAACCATTGAAAATAGTCTTTTAATAATTCATCTTTACCAGTGATTAATAATGGCTTCAATTATAATAGGCCTTTAGAAATCTATGACTAGGCCTACACTATACGGATCTATATATATATATATATATATATATACCTAATTTATATCATTTTATGCGGGAGAATATACTAATTTATGGGCCTGTCCGTTATAGACAGGTTATTGTAAAACTTTTTATTAGAATTATTTTTAATAGAGTGATGTTTAGAAAAGTGTAAACCGGTTGATTAAGTAATCGGGAGTAAAATTTAGCGCAAAAAATAAATAAAATAATATAAAATAAGTTTCGAGACAAAAGACAGTTAAAACGAAACGGCGTGACACACGCATCCTAATTAGAAGAATCATCGTCACGTGAACAAACGGGACCGGGTTTATTTAATGTCGTACATAACACGGATAACATAAAGGTAATTAGTAAATGGGACTTTTGTTAAGGCAGAGCAGAAAATTTATAAGTCGATCGATGTGCGTGATGAGGACGAAGTAGACGACAATAGGAACGGTCAACACAAGACACTAGGACCGCGCTAATGGCTTTTCCAGGTAGGTTACGCACTTTACGAACAGACAAAATGACCGATTCTTCGTTATTTTCGGCATCGTTCGGTTCGTTTCGTTCATCTTTCTTACCCCCCTTTATCGTTATATCTCTTCGCTAAACACGGATTCGGATCGATAACCACGCGAAAATTCGATTTTTTTTTTTTCTCTCCCCCTCGTCATAGATATGATTTCCAATTAATTTAACATCACTTCGTTTCATGTTCTTCCGCATTCGATCTATACCCCTGTTACATAGAAAAATCTCCGAGTCTGTATAGTTTTGACAGTGTATTCGTGAAAGGAAAATTCTTAGACACAAATTTAAATTTACACAAGTCGACTCGCTACTAATTAAAATCTGAAAGTTTTCATCATAACACGTTATCGTAATATAAAATTAATTACTGAATACTCGCATTTATCATTCTAAATATTTGGCCTAAGAATTTAGAACTTGTATTAACCTCTTTTAATAAATACACACAAAAGATATTCTACAAATATAATGACGTAATCTTTATGTCTAAAATAATAAACAACGAAAAAGTACTTAATTACTCATTCCATTGTCTATTCGAAATGATTAAGGCTTTATTGTTTTGTCTTATTTTAATTAAAATAACGTTGCTTTATGTTGTTTGTTCGACTATTCTCATTAAAAATGTAAATCTATATACAATAAAGAATTTTTACAAGGAATATTATTCATTTTTCTACAAAGATCTTTGAGATTTCCTACTTGCTGTAACCTTAATCACGTCGGATAATTTCATTAGTTTTGCCAGTTTTTTTAGGAAGAAAAACTACAGTAATTCTTTTTTACATACTTTCGTATATTATATTAAAAACTCGTAAAATATTTAAGCGTGAATTTTAAAAAAATCTGTGAAAACTTTTCTTTTTTTTTTATTGCGGGATGACATCGAACGGTCATCTTCAACGACGTTTTATCACTCTCGTGTTATTACGTCGGGCATAATGGCATTTAATCAACTTATATCTCCCTTAAAACTGTTCTTTCTCTTAGAATTTGACATTCAGAACGTCAAAAATCTGTATAAATTTACACAAAATTAATATAATCTGTTAAATGTATACGTTCCTCGAACGGAATTTTAACTTTCTGGAGAAGTAAAACACTCGCGAATTACAATTAAACTTCCTCAGAATTTCTCTTTTATTCACCTATCGTGACGTTTTAGACATTCAAATGTATAGGCCTATGACATTTATATATAATAGGCCTATACAAAACTAATTTATAATGTATAGGAATAATATAAATATTTTTAATTCACGATACGAGTCGTAAGAAGTAAAAATTTTAATAAAATTCGTATAAAAGTCTATAACTTTAATAAAATATTTTTCCTGTAATCGATGAAAGAAAACTGTGCTTATAATGCTTAAAATTCATATGAAATAAAGCATGAATTTAAAAAATAAATATTCAAATAATATGAAGAATCATTCAGAACTAGAAATATTCATTTTATATATGAATTTTCTGAATTTATGGATAGTTAAAATGAATATTTAAAGACATATATATATATATATATATATATTAGGAAAATGTAGAAATTCTCAAACAAATATAGCTTTTTATTTTTATTTTTATTTTCTTTCTTCTTTTCTAAAGTCGAAAACAAATAAAGAAATATAAATATATGTAATCTTTTTGACGAATTTATTGTATTTATACGAATTTACTTTTATATATTTTGTTAAAGAGTTCTTTCCTCCGTCTTCTATACAATGTTGAGGATCATTGTTGTGAAGTACGCTTGACAGAAAGGAACAGAGCGTATCAAATCAAACTTTTTCAATTATAACTTGAACAACCGAAATATTTACTTTCTAAAAATAAATACCTACTCAACTAAACACTTTAAAAACTTATAACAAAGAAAATATAAATTAAATTTATAGAAATATATGTTCTTAAATGTGAATACTTTATTAGTTTAATATAATAGTTTCTATGGTTTAATTTAATTAATATAGAATTAAGAATACCATTAATTGTAAGATTTGTATCTTTTTTTTAATCAGATATGTGGGCGTTTTTAGCCGGCCCATTATAAATTCGGCCAGGCCCACAAAGGGGAGCCGGGTGATGAGGGAAAGGGCATTTATCCCGCTTTGATTTCGGGTTTCCCACAGCGGTAGGATGCCGCCGTAGCCGCTCGGCCATTCGGCCTTCTTGTATTTTTAAAGTGTTAATTATGTAGAAACTTGTGTAGATAATTATGGAGACGAGCGATAAAACGATTGTAACGAATTTTATTTATCTTTTGGACAGGATCCGCGAGCACCCAGATCCACTTTATCTTCGCCCTCGTCTACGACCACTGTCAATCAGTCCAGCGGTTCGGCAATGAGAAATAACGAAGTGAGACAGGTGATGCTGTACGGCATCCCCATCGTGGCTCTGGTCATCGACGAACAAGAAAGACTCTGTCTGGCACAAATATCCAACACCCTTCTCAAGAACTTTAGCTACAACGAGATTCACAATCGTCGAGTGGCGTTGGGCATCACGTGCGTCCAATGCACCCCCGTCCAGTTGGAACTGCTGCGTCGGGCGGGTGCCATGCCGGTGTCGTCGCGTCGGTGCGGTCTCATCACTAAGAGAGAGGCGGAAAGACTGTGCAAGTCGTTTCTGGCGGACACTACCCCTCCCCGGCTGCCCGATAACTTCGCCTTTGACGTGTTCCATCAGTGCGCCTGGGGTTGTCGCGGCTCTTTCGTCCCCTCGCGATATAACAGCTCTCGCGCCAAGTGCATCAAGTGCACCTATTGCGGTCTCTTCTTCTCGCCTAACAAGTTCATTTTCCACTCGCACAGATTGCCCGACTCTAAATATGTTCAACCGGACGCTGCAAACTTCAATTCCTGGAGACGACACATCAAACTTAGTGGAACGCCACCGAACGAAGTCATTTACGCGTGGGAGGACGTTAAAGCTATGTTTAACGGGGGTAGCAGAAAGCGAGTCATGACGACGTCCGTACACAACGTTTCGCGTAGTCAGGATCCCAAGAGATCTCGACTGCCCCCTTCCGAAATTCCTACGACGAATTCGGAGATTGGAGCGTCTGGAAAACAATCCTTCTTTCCCATCGTACCTCTACCCAATAAGGGCTACTCTCTTCAGTCCGCGCCGTCTTTCGTCCCTCCCACTCCCCCCTCGTTCAGTTTACCCGGCAAAGCCATGTCTTCGGCCGATATCAGACAGAGCTTCGCCGAGTACATGTGGGCGGGGAAGCAACCCTTTTCCCTCCCCTACGGCGGTGTCCTGTGGCCGCGGCCTCCGGGACTGGTTTCTTCCGTGGTGGACGTGGGCGACAATCGAACCCCCGATCCCTGCGCCACCAACGTCCCCTTTCCGGTGGCGGATCCGGACAACAAGTTGCCGCGACCGCTGTCGTCGGCCAGCGACGCCACGTCCAGATCGTTCCCCTTGGATCACGAGGAGAGCAACCCCGACAGCCCCAGGCGCGCTTCTTCTCCTCACGCTTCCGCCTTTAGGCCGGTGGGTCGACTGGGCTCGCGAGCGCTTCATCTCGATCCTTCCGCCTCCGAAGCGACCGCCGACGCGTCGCGCGTATCCGAACCCGCGACGGAAATCGAACCCAACGCTCGCTCCGCCGACTTTCGTGACGATTCCGAAAGTTCTCGAGCATCTAGCGATCACGACGAGGTGGACGTAACGGACATTAGCGACGACGGAGCCGAAAATAACGACGCTCGAGAGGACGAGAACAAACTACGTTCGAGCGTCGAACATCCTCCCGTTTTGATGTCCATCGCACCCGAAGCCGCTCCCGCTCGTCCGGAAAGTAAAATATGGAGAGGGGTAAGTTCGGAAGTTTCGATTTTCTTTAAGTAGAACATCTCTTGCGAGAATTAAGAGAGACGACGCCTGCGGGAGACAAGAAATTCATTAAATAAGTTTTGCTTTTGTTATATTTTCTGTATATATATTTTTTTGAATATTCCTATTTGTCGAGCAAAAAAAGCGCGAGTTAATCATTACTTTTGTACGCGGTCCAGCACCGAGGCCGCGGGCGACTGTAGAAGAAGCGCGTGCAATCCTTCTCTACCCGTACGACTACGATGATTGGCTTATTTACGCGCACGTGAAGAATCCCTCGAGAGGAGGTCCGAGTCGCTTCCGGAGATGTTTACGAAGTAGAAGAAAAATCTTGGGGGATTCTTAGATTTTGTTTCTTTGCGACGCGTCGAATTGTCATTTAAATCAAAATAAATTTGCATAGGAGCTGCGATAAATGATAAATTTGCTTAAAATCCCGTCGCTTGATAATGCAGCCCAATGGCGGATTGGTTGGATCCCCCAGGCCGAGACACACACTTTTAAAATGCAAATTCCTAGTGAAAAGTGTTTCGACTTCTCTCTTTTTTCCTCTCTCTCTCTCTCTCTCTCTCTCTTATATAACGATTTGTAAGCGAGAAGTCGAATAATTCGGACACTTCCTCGATTTATCGTCGATTTTTTGATTTTCTAAGAGAAATTTTTCGATAAATAACTAATTTCTCTTCACAAAAATCGTGCTTCTTCTACAATACGAGTTTCTCTCTTGCCCAATTTCCAAAATAATACGCGGAAAATTAATTATGTGTGTAGCCAATGTAAAACATTCATCCTTCTAATGTATCAATTGATTCAAAGAAACTTGCAGAATAAATTCGTTCTGTCTTTGAATCCTGTTTAAATTATTATTAATATTATTATTAAAATATTAATAACTATTTTTTAACTAAAAATTGCTCATATAAAAGACGTTTCGAGGGATAAAGATTCGAATTTCTACTCGCATCAATCTAGTAAGGCGCATCTTTAGGGCATATAAATGTAATGTTTTAGTGAATCTATCGTCTGATTTAGTATGAAAAATAATAGAAAATAATCAAAATAACGTATTAATCAAGACATTTTCACTTTTAGAATCTTCTGTTTATGGAAATTTTCTTTAAAACGAACACCAGAAGAAGCGAACCATAAAATGCATTTATGAATATGCGAACACGATGCAAATTCATAATATTTGTTGACACAAACTTGACAAATTCTAGAAAACATTTTCGGGGGGAGGAAAAAAAGGTCATCATTTAAAGAATTTATAAAATACTTTTATATCTTTTTCTTCTAGAATTTTAAAGTACAGGCTATATTTCTTTTTTTTTGGCCTGTTAATATATATATATATATATAATTCAGTTGGGAATTAATAATTAAAGAGCATTTATCTGAGAATTTCATCCCAGTTTTATACGTTTAAAAAGTGTCGAGATATAAAAAAGTGTAAAGGTGAGAGAATAAAAAGCGAAAGTAATTTTAAATAACCTTGGTTATTCGTCAAATAATTTATTTGGTGGGCGGAATTCTTTGCTTAATGCCCCACTTGTCCCGTCTCGTTAAGTGCTATTTGTAATTAAAAGATAATTAAATATTACACGTGGTCGAACGGAAACGTTCTTCAAAAGCAACAAATTCGTGGAAAATTTATGCCTCGGACTCCTTCGTAAATAAATTGTCTAATGTGACAAGAGAAGAAGATTTACGCCCGCTCGTTACTTAAATATTATGCAGATTACGATTTATTAATTTGCAACGTTCGGGTTTCCACTCTCCATTCTCGTTAACCTTACAAAAATACAATTATCCTAACACTGAGATAATTATAATTATTTCTTTCTCTTAATTATCATTTGCATAAATTCCGTTCGGTTTGTGGCATAACTCGTCTTTCCATTTTGCATCCATCATCCACTTTTATATTCGATTTACAGCATCATTCGAGTCGTCTCATCATCAATTTTATACACTTATAACACGGGATAAGTATATAAACTATCAATTTTAACATTAAAATAAATAAAGTTTCGATGTTTAATGTATAGTCGATAGCTTAATATAGGAAGGTGAGGGACACGCCCAAGCATCCTAGTAATTTTTATTTCGACGAAAATGAGCAAAAAAAAAAAAAGTGTCAACAAGGAAGATTAAAGTCGTCGTCTAGAGTCGAACTTTATCCTCGTCTATTAAAATACACGCGTGACGGTAACGAGACAGGCACGCGAGCGATCGTGCATTACGCGCGCACCTATTAAATATAAGTCCGGAAATAACAATACGAAGGGGGCTAACTAATGTTACGTGTTAGTCTATACTTACCGTTTGGATACGGACAGCGTGTAAAATTATATTATTTAGAAGGTATACGTAAAATTCCGACTATATACAGCGTTATTATTAACACGCTCGATAGAAGTAAATGATAAAACATACAACACCACCCTTCTTCCTAACTGTAATTAATTGCAGAATGGATTTAGATGTTAAATTTTCGATGATGAACTTTGATCTCCTATCGCGTTATATCGGGGTAAACGTCGAAATTTTTTTTTTGCGTTAAGGAGGCGATAAATATTTTATTAAGCATCTAGTTATAGGGTGTAGACGAAGAATAACGTATAATGCCATGCGAAAAAGTAAGCATCGTTAGAGTAGAGCGTTATGCTCGAGCGATTCATCAGCAGCCATGCATCACTCGATCGTGTGTTACAATTCCGAATATCGATTATTCGAAACATAAACTAACGTTCTAGAGTAATAAATATAAATTAATAAAAATCGAACGCTAAATATCGACATTTTTTTTTTTGTTAAGAATTTTTGCGTTAAACATAATTTCATCACTCGATTCCTTAAACTTTGTATATATACACTCGCCTTTCAAACGATGTTGAACACACGACACTGTCTCTAAAAGTATTCTCCTGTAATATTTATTGGATATTAATTACTTTCGATGAAATTTTGCAGAGGAATGACTTTTTTTTTTTGTCAGTTTTGGGGATGGAAAAAGCGGAAAGGCGCCGAGGTCCACGAGGGCGTGGTTAAGCGCATTTGTATTTTTATCTTATCGCTTCGTCCGGGGAATATATCCCACTATTTATACGTACTACAACATAATTGTTATGTCACACGTATTCCCACGTGGTTCGTAATGACGTCATCGTGAATTCGTTATGACAATTCCATCACATTTACTTTCGCTTTTTATGTAACACATTTAGTTACACCCCGAAATACGCATACGCTTAAATAAATAAGATACAAAAATAATCACGTCCTTCCGCACATCCAATAATAACTTTTCACTCACTTTTTTTTCTGAATTTTTAATTTACATTTGTCAAATTTTTTCTGTATTTTTTTAAATATATAATAATAATAATAATAATAACAATAATAATAAATTCTGAAGACGTCGTTTTCAATGTAAAATTCGCTCTTTTTTTAGAATTTTCAGCGTTATTAATTATCTTTCATGTTATAACTAAACTATTTTATAAGCGTATAAATAGTAAAAGATATATTTTAATTATAAATATCGAGTAAATAGTGTTTAAAGGCAGTGAGTCGTTATCGTTAATATTTAAGTAAAGTGTTAATTTATGTTTCATTCACTTGGCGTAAATATAAATACCAGAGCGGATTTTTATTTGAAATATTGATAATTATCTTGATTATTATTATTATTACATTTTAAATATACATTATCTACTAAATTTAATGATAATAAAGTAACTAATAATAATAATAATAATAGACCGAGGGCATTTAAAATAAATGATGATCTAAAATAATTAATCTTATTCATTTACTGCAAAAGTTGCCGAAAACGACATTTTCGTCTATCTTTCGGCGGAGTCGTTGGAATGGTTTTATTTTTGATTATATTTAAATTATGGGGTGTTTTTTTTTAGTCGTCGACACTTTCGAAAGATGGCACCACTAATCGATGACACTATATCGATATCGATAGATATTTTAGAATAGAAAAATCGAGTGGAAGAACGATACTTTTAACTCGAATGTTTACAAATCGATTTAATTAGTCGCCGGTTAAAAGTCAATTTGCTTAATTCGAATGATTATGTTACCGAAAATAAGTCAATTTTACTAAAAGTACGAATAAGAACACGATTTTCGAAATAAATAAAGGTTATTTCGTTGCCGAAAATGTCATTTTGATAGTTTGGAAGCAGGCAAAAAGACAAAATGTCTGGTGTAACATCGGCATTCTTCACATCATTTAAAAAATATTAAATAATTTTTAATGAATTGAAACGTGCCCATTTTTTACACGCAAAAACGGATCATTCGCTCTTTCGTTTAAAATGTTAATTTATGCATTTAGAAAACGAAGGCCCGCTTCACAAATTATGTCATTACATTTATATTAAGGGTCATGGTTTGTGTGGTGTGCCAAAGTAAACGTCCGTCTCGTCCGGTCTATATTTAAGAGTAATTATTTTTATGGACTCTTCTAATGATTATTAAGAGTTGGAGCGAGAATAATGAATCTCTGTGATCAGTCGATATTTAAGGAGCGACCAATCGCCGCGGAAGGCGGAACCTTCGATCACTCTCCGGTGGCCACCATTAATTTTGGACAGCTTAATGACGGGGATGAGACCGCATCTCGACCCCATTCGTCCCCTTGCGAGTAGCAGTTTGGAGAGCGTTTGATACAGACTCGTTAACACGAGTTCTCAGTATAAGAAAGCATTTCTTGGGGACAAAAACTATTCTTAAATCTAAGTTTTGAGTCTAATGTTCTTCTTTTGGGGCGTATAATTCTATAATTTTGTTATAATTTCCAAGCTGAACTTTGCTAAGAATAATAGAAAATCATATATTATTTCTAATTTTTTTCGCGTTATAATTAATGGGTTGAATCTGCGAATTACAAGAATGTTTTAACGTCGATTATTTCCCAAATAAGCTAGAACAGTAATTAACAATAATATATAAAAACAGGTATAATATAATTAAAAATTCTCCGCGCATAGAAGAAAAAAAAAGATTGAATTTGATTAGACGCGAAAGGAAAATGAATAAAATTAAAACTTTCTAAAAAAACAGGAAAAAATTAAAAAGTGATTGCGCTCGTTAAATAGATATAAAGTCAAATACATTAATTATAATTCTCTTTTTTTTTAATTTATAAGGTTAGAGATTAGTGAAACGTTTCGAACATGTTTGGGTTTAAACGTGAATAGACCTGACTTATTCCCTAAAATTTGAATGCCTTCGCTACCACGAATTTTTAATTGATTTCTTATAGCCTCTAAAATATATATTTTAATTAATTGTATTATAAGCTATAATTAAACTTAAAAAAAAAACTAAGAATCTGCCTAGTGTTTAACTTGTTATTTTCTGTTATTCTTGTAGCCTCCTGCAGAAAATAAAACAACTTATCAAAAAGGGAGGAAAACACTTACGCGAGAACACAAGAATATGATAAACGAATTAATTTAGTTTTAAATTTTATCTTAATTCTAACTCATTTATTTATTCTTTACCGTTTATCCTTATCCACGCGATCCGTATACTCACCTTCGCTTTATTCTCCAAAGTTGCGTGTCTTTCGATAAGTGGAAGATACGTAACAATGAAGGATGACGTTAAAAGACACGCACTGTACAGTACAGTACCTGTTTCTTAGTTTAGTTTTGCATCTTTTGATCATTCTTGAAAGCAAAATACAATTAAAATACGAAAGTTTAACGTTTCAATATTACGAATCTGAACCTCTGATAATTGTCATCATCCCCGAGAGTTTCATTGGCAGATCTGTTCTAACGTTTTAAGAATTCATATAGTATTAATTATATTACAGTATCAAGTCGTATTAATTAAAATGAACAAATTACGGGTGAACGTATCCATTGCGCTATTTTTCATTTAGACGGTCGCACACACGTCACGCATTGTAAGTAATTCCCCGAACAAAATAGGGTGTGAATTAACGATTAACGAAATTTAATGTATTAAGTAAATCCATAATTAATAATTCAATAATAATGTTCTTTTAGATAAAGTGATATTCGAGTCATAGGCGAATTCCCTATCGCAAGTGATAATCGAGAATTTAATACAGAATATTTAATAAACAGTAAAGTTATAAAAGGTCCGAATAAAGGAATAATCTACCTGTCGGGGGTTATAATAAGCTAAATATTAAAAATGATATATGTGTTTATCCGAAGAAAAAGATGATAATGCGGACTAATATCCTGGGGGCATTTCTATACTATTACTTTGTGTTTACCTGTCGGAGATAGGTTCGGTGCGCATTATAAAATGATGAAGAGAGAAAGTAAAATCGATCTGCCACCGTCTAATTCATTCATAAACTGTGAAAACCGTTTTAATTTAAGTGAGTTGTTTGTCCGTCGATGCTCTTGGGAACGAATCTCGGATCCCGACTTCGCCTTATGAATACGACTCGGCCAATCGTGCTTCGCTCATTGAATTCTTAAATAAATATTAATAGGGGAGAAAATTTAAATGCGACTACTCTATACTTTCCAATGTCGTCGGATTCTCGCTGTGTTTAACTAAAGCCCAATGTACGTGCTGGGTTAAACTGCTTTAATTTCCGCCGGTTACACAATTCGGTGCGAAAGACTCTTCGACAAACACCAGGCGGGACAATGGGGAGGCGCCCAGAGACGTAAACTAGTTTTTGTAGCGAAGGAATTACCCTATTGCGAGCCTCTCTACCTACAGGATTGCAGTAACGTCGGCCACGCGCGGGAGACAGAACGAAAAAAAAAAACACTTGTGTCAACTTTCTTGTGCTTGTATAGAAACTCCATTAGCTTCTATTGCTGCGCTCCTATAGTCGGGTCGGTGCCAATCCAAACAGCAATCGGCGACGAATGGTTCCGTGGATATTGTAATGTGTTTACAGCTCGCCCGAGGACGTCCGAGTAAATACCGTTCACTGATTAAAGTTGTATCTTTTTAACTATTGACCAAGCGCCCAAACTATCGACTAAAACTCGGAAATAACGCGACTCACCTCCCTCCCTTCGTTGTCGGTCACTCGGGATTTCCAATTAAATTATCCTCCCTGCTTACGACATTTTTTTCCAGATTTAATCTCCTTTCTTCGTCTAACGTCTTCTCTACCTAGGCTTTCGAATTCGAACCCTCCGGCTCTGTCGATTTTAGTCTAAAACTCTTCTTTTCGAAACGCAAATACGAAAATATTTTGCTATTTTTAAATATGAAAATAAATTCTGTTTAGTCTATCTTTCGACTTATCTTCCTCGCTTTCTCGGCCTTCGGGTACTTCTATTTTCCAATTCTTTCTATCTTATAAGTTACGTTATAAAATGATTATTGTAAAGAATTAATTTTATATCCGTCGCGTGTTCGAAAATTAACACTGTTCGGTATGTAAATATCATGCTAATTGAAGGCTATTTTTTCCTTCTTGCTGCATTAGGATAAAGAAGCGAACGTTACGACGAATGATGGTAAGTCCATTTATATATTTATACAGTATATCAATCTCCTACTTTAAAAAGTTAAAACTTTAAATGTTGTTATAAAATCCTCAACAACAAGAAAAATACTTAAATGAAGAAATTAAAGCGTCATTAAATCATTATATAAAATGAGTCGAGTGTTTGACGTGCACACAACACAGTGATTCAGTATAGAAATTTAATGTCCATTTAATGTAAAAATAGAATCAGAAATGGAAATTCGATAAATGTTGTTTGTTTATTTCCTAATTGTACTGTACTGTACGTCGTCTAATTTTAGGTTCCGATCACCAATCAAATAATGTTTCTAGACAGTTAACCAACACATTTTTAATACGAACTACTCTATATAACAATGAACATTTTAGTATGAATAAAAGCATTAATTTAAAATTAATACAGCCCTTTTGTGAGTGAAAAGTATACCCACAAAGTAGTTAGAGAGATTAATTGCTTCCTTTGCACAGTTACGTTTGTCTCATGCTACAAATCTCGCTATTTATCACGGGTGATCAATAAACGGGGCTATAATTTGACAGAGAATAGCACAACAACCTACAACGATGACATACGGGCTTTCGCTTTCGCCATACATCTTGCGAATGTATTTGTAAATAAAGCATCTTTATTCGAAATTTCTAAATATATAAAATCGATTCTTTTAATCTTAAAATATGGTTAATGTTAGTTTTCTTCTATGGATTTATTCTAAAATAGTTAAAACATCAACTCGAGATCACCGGATGTTCGGTAATAGAGTCGTGCTCAGGTGTTCGATCGCATGGTTTTTTTTTTNACAATTCCATCACATTTACTTTCGCTTTTTATGTAACACATTTAGTTACACCCCGAAATACGCATACGCTTAAATAAATAAGATACAAAAATAATCACGTCCTTCCGCACATCCAATAATAACTTTTCACTCACTTTTTTTTCTGAATTTTTAATTTACATTTGTCAAATTTTTTCTGTATTTTTTTAAATATATTTTTCTTTACGACTTTTTCTTAGGGTCTTTATTACATTCAATGGTAGGTTTTTATTTGGCAGCTGAGTCCCCGAATCGCAGTAGCGAAAACTACAAAGACGGAAAAGTTCGAGAGGTGATGGAATTACTTCGGCCTCCGACACCACCCTTAGGTAGTACATTTTCTCAATTACTATAGAATAATTTAATGAAAATTTATTAATATTTATGTTACTTTTAGTAGAAGAGAAGAATACAGTGTCGCCGACCATCGATCCCCAAAAATTATCATCTCTTAGTAAAGGTGCGCATCATCTTTTTCTATGTTTTCTCTTTATATAAAGAGGTTAAGAAAAATAAAATAAAATAAATAAAAACTTGTTTCGAATTAGGTCATAATAATGTTAACTACGGAGTTTTCTTAATGAATACTTTACATTCGGGCTTAAATATCCCGGAGCCACGATGAAGAAGACCCCGTTTGTAATCAGACATTAATCTCGCTCGTTATGGTTATTAATTGTAGATTTTTCTAATTATTTTAGCAACGTAACCAAATAAATGCTTTTGTCCTTTTGTTAACGAACTTCTTTATGTTAAAAGTTGTTAAAGAGAACTTTTTTCAACCGGGCCATTTCTTTGTTTATTAAATGAATAATTTAGCAAATTAAATTATTTATTTTGCATTATTTTAAGATGAATTACGAGAGGTGTTAATGCAAGAAACACAGGCACGCCATCAAGCCGAGAGAGAGTACCAAATGATAAGAGGTCCTCTTTTATTTTCTTTACCTTTTTTTTTTTGTTTTTTTACCTTAAAATTTCTTTTCTGAATACTTTTTTCTACTCTTTTTAATTAAGTATAACACAATTATCACCTACAGGATTGCAGTAACGTCGGCCACGCGCGGGAGACAGAACGAAAAAAAAAAACACTTGTGTCAACTTTCTTGTGCTTGTATAGAAACTCCATTAGCTTCTATTGCTGCGCTCCTATAGTCGGGTCGGTGCCAATCCAAACAGCAATCGGCGACGAATGGTTCCGTGGATATTGTAATGTGTTTACAGCTCGCCCGAGGACGTCCGAGTAAATACCGTTCACTGATTAAAGTTGTATCTTTTTAACTATTGACCAAGCGCCCAAACTATCGACTAAAACTCGGAAATAACGCGACTCACCTCCCTCCCTTCGTTGTCGGTCACTCGGGATTTCCAATTAAATTATCCTCCCTGCTTACGACATTTTTTTCCAGATTTAATCTCCTTTCTTCGTCTAACGTCTTCTCTACCTAGGCTTTCGAATTCGAACCCTCCGGCTCTGTCGATTTTAGTCTAAAACTCTTCTTTTCGAAACGCAAATACGAAAATATTTTGCTATTTTTAAATATGAAAATAAATTCTGTTTAGTCTATCTTTCGACTTATCTTCCTCGCTTTCTCGGCCTTCGGGTACTTCTATTTTCCAATTCTTTCTATCTTATAAGTTACGTTATAAAATGATTATTGTAAAGAATTAATTTTATATCCGTCGCGTGTTCGAAAATTAACACTGTTCGGTATGTAAATATCATGCTAATTGAAGGCTATTTTTTCCTTCTTGCTGCATTAGGATAAAGAAGCGAACGTTACGACGAATGATGGTAAGTCCATTTATATATTTATACAGTACTAGCTGTTACCCGCGACTTCGTCAGCGGAGGTTTTGCAAGCAAACCCCATTTACATCCAATATTTCAATAACCATAGTAATTGTTATATAACACCTACCGCTGAAGAGAATTGCCGAAAATCAAACGAACTATTTTCAATTTGATCAATTTTCTGAAACGTTTACAATCGTTCTATAATCGAACCAATACGCAATAACAAATTCGAATTTAAAACNTTACCTTAAAATTTCTTTTCTGAATACTTTTTTCTACTCTTTTTAATTAAGTATAACACAATTATCACTCTTTATTAACGCGTATAAGTGTAATTAATCTTTTTAAATATTAAAAAAAAAGGACACTCGAAAGCCGCTATACTAATTAGGCCTATATGTATACAGTACTGTATATAAATTTTTAAAATAAATTAAAATATTATTAAACAAATAAAACGAATGAAATTCTTCTGGTATTTCAGGAACGTTCGAAGAACAAGTCAGAAAAGAAATCGCTTACAGAGAAGAAATCGCCAAACAATTACAACTCGTTCGTGGTATGAAGTTTTAATTCTAAAATTCTTTTTAAGTAGTAATATTAATTATATAATTTTAAATTTATTTTATATATATATTTAAAAAGTGATCGATGATTATCGTTTTTGTTACGCGTTACGCCATACTGTCGCGAGGTTTGGGCGTTGCGGCGTGACGTTAAAAAAATGCTTCGGAATGATGCAAAAAATAACTAAAAAAATATAAGAAAATTAATTTATTTAGAAGGTCATTCGATAAAGTTTTATTTTGCGCACTTCATTTTATTCTTGCTCTTTGTATTTTCCTATTTGTAATATTTCAAAAGATTAATTTTATCAATATACTTTTCTCTGTTATAAAATGAACTCATATAAAATAGATCGTACTTCTATAAACTCTGCACGCAATATAAATACAGGACTGGTAATAACAAAGAGAGAATATTATTGTCAAAAATTCGAAAATATCTGATAAATTAATTTGTTAAATCAAATATTTAGGACAGAATAATATATTAAAATATAAACATTTTTCACGCGATTCGTAAATAACATTCGCGAATTGGTTTAAAGGTTATCTATATAGGCTGTTACCAATGCTTCTGTCACGTGGATTATTAATATAAATATAAGAATTATTCATTAATTCGTTCATTAATATTATAACGTTTGGCATTTGTACAAGCTGCTCATCTAAACTTCCCTTATCTAGGGATGTATAAGTAGGTGCAGGCCTAATTAATCAGTAAGCCTTTATTAATCTTATCAATCACGTAGTCTATAATGTTAAAACACCGTTTAGGTTAAAAAATGGCTTCCAAAATGTTTACATTTTTAGATTCAGGGCGCATCGAAATATCGAGAAATGCAAAACAAAAGTTGGGGATTCTTTTTTCTGTTTGTATGGATGTACTGTACAGGGCGCGATTCTGTTTACCCAATTTAGAGCTTAATAACTCCTGTGCCTTTTGTCGAAAATTTATGAAATTTTGCAGGAAAGTTTAGGTATTTCGGGTAAATATTTCTAGAAATTTTCAGTAAAATCAGAGTATTAGTTCGGTAGATACGGCCCTCACACTTATAACACTGCCAGTTTTTTTTTATCAACAACCGAGCGCACAGATCATTAGTATTGCGAGTTAAGTACGCGTCAGACGCGTGCTGTGACGCGACGATGGATGCCTCACTAAATGGCCTCTGTTAATTTATATTTAACGAGCTCTGTAAGAGATCGTTACCTTCAATTATGAAAGAATCGGATTAAACGAATTATATACCTACCGCCGACATCTAACACAGTTCATGCCACGTTTAAAATAATAAATAAAAGAATCCCGATTTATTCGTTAATTTGATCAAAATCTCGGTTTTAATTTCTATAATTTTTATATATTTTCGGAGTTAATTTCGATCCGACTAAACACTATTTTATCAAGTGTATTGTTCGTCTATTGTCCAAATATTAATGGATGTCGCGCGTGAGTATCGCTAATAAATAAAACTATCGAGTAATGTATTTAATATATTTAAACGATAAATATAAATATTTTAACATATTCGCTATCTAAAAGTAATTTGTGTAAAATAATATTCGGGCTATATTTAATTTTGACTCTCTAATTCTATAGTCTACTTTATAAATATTAAACCATTTTCTGTCTGCTCTAATTTGATTTCACTTCCGAAAGTGCATTCCATTAATTACATAAATTTAAAAAAAATCAATTTTTTTAATTTAATAAATTGTAGTAGAAAAGATATAAAGTTTAATATAGGATATTATGGTGTTAAGAAGTATTAAAGTCGTTCCTTAAGTGTAAAGTTCGTGACAATGTCAGTAGAAAACACGTGTAGGCCTATACTAATCTTCAATATAAAGATAGATTTCCCTAAAGTATTAATTTAGAATATCCCTAAAGTAGTAAGAAAGAAAACCCTAAAATGGCAATTCGAGGGTTTTCTTTCTTAGATATACAGGCGAAGACAATAGGCTTTGTATTCTAACAGTTCTGAAATGAGCTTATTTTTCGTATTTTTAAGAAAAGAAATATTTCGATATGATGTAAAAATGAAATAAATTTTAATTTTAATACAAAATTTATGAAAAATTTAAGTATTTTGTTTGATTCTATGGCCCTATTTTGAAATATAAAATTAAACTTTTAAGAATTGATGTTATTTTTCCATTTATTAAAGCACAGACAGATTTTAAATTGGTTCATTAATTTAAATTAAATCAAATCTCATAAAAACCTAAATTTTAAAGTTAATTATTCCTAAAAAAAAAAAAAAAATTAAGAATCTTTCGAGTGAGATCATCGATTAAAATAGTATCGTTGCAATAAATAAACCCGCATGTGTTACGCTCGTTATAAGTTTACTAATCTAATTATATGAAATGTAATTAAATAACGTATTTTGTTAACCACTTCGGCGTGGTATAGTACATAGTTAAAAGTTTTATTTCTAGAAATACAATCTTAATTTATTCTATTAAACATACGTGAAATTAAAGTTCGATTTACAAATGCTCGCTTAACAACCGTTTTTTTCAATAATCAGGTAGTAAAAGCGGGGTTAAATTGCCTCACAAATATAGCTGAAAGTGTAAGAGATTATAGACTAACAATTCTTCTTGACAGTAACAATGCTATTGTCACTTATTTTCATGAATAGTAAACGTATAAGCCTCCTGTCTAATAATATTTCTTTTATATTTTACATGCTATTTTAACTTATAAAAACATTATAATTATTTTAATAATATTTTAAAATTGATTTCCGATTAATTCTACTCCCGAATTTCCTTTCTGTTGAATTCCTTCTTAGATTTTCCATTCATTGTGTATCATACATTAAAATTTATTTTAAAACTTAAAGTTTCTATCGATTATTTTAATTATTATAAATAATAAAATAATACGTAACAATTTATTAAAGCCTCCAGATTTTTTTATTGTGGTTACTAACGAATTAATTGGATTCGAACTCGCATTAAATATTAAAGAGCGAATTGAATAATTAATTGATAGATCAGATACAGGGAAGGAAAAAAAAAAGTAAGTTGTTAGCATTTTATTTAAATATTTTAAATAAGAATATCCGAAAAAATAATTAATTAATTTTGTTAAGTTAATACACATTTTTATAAGTTTTTAGCGCGATCAATCAGCTTGAGGATAATGATTATATCTGAAATCTTTCTGTCTAATCGATCCAATGGTGAATTATTTTAGCAAACTACCATCAGAAGGGAGATGATAGGAGCTTATTACTTTCTTTTTAACAATGTCTAAAATGACGTATTTTGATGACAACACTCGATGAAAGTAAAAGAAAGCTCATTAGAGCTTTACTCGAGGGTATCTGGACAAGAGCAGTATTATCCTCTGGAGGAATGGCTAAACGGCTGAAAGGATAACTCGTACTCTTCTACTTGCCTACGAATAAAGATCTAATGAACTTTCTCTTAGTTTCGTAAGGATTAACTTGCCCTCTATCTTAATTATTATTATTATTTACTGTGATTTTCTCATCTATTATTAACGGCATTAAATATATATAATTCGTAATCACACACTATCGGAAAATGAATCATTTTAAATTAATTCCATAGTTTTTGGTTTGGTTTTCGATTTTTAAATTTACTTCTTAATTTATTCGATATTTAAAATAAGTTGTAATATTATTAACATTGTCGAATATCTAAAAACAAAAACAAATCACTATATTTCTAATGTTAATTAATTACTACAAAGTTAATAAATAATAGAAGAAGAAAGGAAATGTCCCTTTATTAGATTTCATTCATTCATTTATTTGATTCACGAGAAAAAATATCATTTAATGAAAAGAAATAACCAACAAACATTCAAGAAGATTAAAAATTTAATCTTGTAGATAAAAAGAAAACAATGCACCACAGGAAAAAAAAAGAAAATAATAATAATATATCGTCTGGTAATATTGCCTCTTTGCTCCAGCCTCTAGCTGTATTCCCTCCTCCTAAATCTGCTGTAGATCCCTTACTGCATCTCTTACAACATTAATGCTGCCCCTCCCATCATTCCACTATCCCCCTTACTCGACATTGTCTTCACTCAATTACATAAACTGCTTCTTCTAATCGCCAATATCTATAAATTTATTATCCGATGCCCATCGAATCACCTTATTTCGTTCTTGCAACATAATCAGAATATGGCCACAAACTATCTACAGATTCGCTTGTATACAAAAGATAATAATAAAAAAAATTAAAAAATAAGAAAGGAAAGAACAAAAGCATCTTGATATTTTTATTAGTCACTTGCCCGCAGTTATGATTAGATGAATTCTAGAAAATATGAAAAAATAATCAATGTTAAAAACTAAATCTTTTGTTTAGAATTATCATACTTTTCTTTATTGTTTTCCATTCTTTTTCTTTGGAATTTATTTATTTTTTTTCTCTCTCTCTCTCTAATAATAACTTAAATAATAGGAATTCGGCGTTAAGAATAATGAAATCTGCCTGTAAATTCTGTATAAAAACATGAAGTGCTGCAGAAAATATATTATTTAATAAATATTTATTTATTTTTATATTATTTAAATGACATATTAATACATTTGTTAATGAAAAATGATTTATATTTGATTTTTAATGATATAATTATATATCAAGTGCTGTAAGCATTTAATCCTATGGATTTGGATCTGTCTCAACCCCAAAAGTTATCATTTCTGAAGGGACTTTGATTTCTTTTTTAGTAAAATTGTGCTTTATACATTACGTTTTTACTGATTGTTTATTAATTAATAGCTTTAGCTATTCATTTAGTGTACTAGGTTGTGTTGCAATGTTAAGAGATTAGTTCAGTACGTTGCTTAGATTACTCCTAAATTTATGTTGTCTTAAATTAATAAAATTGGCAATAAATACATAAAAATTATCAATTTTTGACACAAAATATTCCAAATTAAAACATTCCTTACGAGGAAATTGTCTAATAATTATTGGGAATCTGTTGATGATGGATGATGATCTCTAGAT